TTTTTAAATATTATTTACATGGACTTTGGTCTTCAAAGACACACAATATGTTGATATAACATCCACATTACGAGAATAATATACATCATCTTAGTTTCAGCACTGTCATGGTATGAGTGTAACAGACACTTAATGTAGCTGAAAACAGATAGAACACTTGAACTCTACAGAGTCCCTGAAACAACTCGTTTAGTTATACAGCTACAGTTAAAATAATATAACAAGTATATACGCATATGTGCAGAACAGTTCGGCAAACATTCATGGCGACGTTAATATTTTCAGTACACAATAGGTTAAAATAAACAACTTCATGAAACAGAGTATTTCCAACTTTAAAAGCTGACAGCACGCCAACCGAGCCAAATTTCTTTCAGGTTCATTTTAATATTATCCTGCCATCTACGCACGCATTTCTCGTCTCTGCCAATCGTGCTACTAACAGTTTTAAACAAGAACCAGACTACTGCTAATTCAGTTTCTTTCCGGAAACATAGGCCTACATAGAATTGCAAAACTGAGGACATCACCTTGCATAAAGCTCAATATCTTGTCCCGACCACAAGCCATACCACAGTAATAAAATGTAAATGCATGCTTCCAATGTACTTTAAATATATTTAACACGTTTAAATTTTAAAATGTTTACTAATTACTGCAAAGAAAATATAAAGATCATAGCCGTTAACTGTACGCGTTACTTCGCCGAGCTATGGCTTAAAAGGGTTAATATGAGTTCTCTGTTCGAAGCCGGTGACATACTAACGCAGAAATGACTTCGAGTATTTCTAAGAATAACATTTTTCTGTACAAAAAAAAAAAGATTGCAACAAAGTTCTATGTCTGCTTTGCAGCCTTCGAACTAGACCGAATGCGTGAAGTACTAATACTGGGTACAGAGCTGTAAAACACGTTTACTGCGACACGAAAAATATCCTGCCGATTAAACTGAAATTTCCTTGTAAACCAGAGAGCAGATCCGCATATTCAGCGTCTGTGTCGTCTTCTCTGTGTCGAAAGGTTATGACTTACGTGATATTAGTACATGGTATGTCTATCATATTCTTTTGGAACACAAAGGTTTATTACAGTCCTTACAAAAGCCCACGATCTGACCCTATCCTGAATCAACTGATGCACTTCACATATTCAAAAGCTATTTATCTACGACATAATTCGTTGCTATCTTCTCCATAACGTTCCTTTACCTCAGCTATCTCAGTGGCGGCATCTTTAATAGGATCATTATATCTGTGTATGATGGAGAACGCCATCAAAAATTATTTTCATTTTCAGAAATGAGATGTAACATACAACTGGATTGATCATATTCGAATAGCAGAAGATAAAAGTTAACAAAACATTATTAAAATCGAAGGGAAGATTGTTCCTTGTTTAATTAACGTGGCTTTTCACATCGCATTGGCTACGCACAATCGAATGACAGAATGGCGAGTAAATGATGAAATAACAATTATGTTAATGAAAGTAATCGTGGCCTGTTTCAAGAAACACTCGCAAAAATACGAAAACCTCCAATACTGCCAGTCACTGTGCCACGTTTCGAACCCAGAATATTTCGAATACGAAGTAAATTCCTAACCATCCGACGATATCTTTCGGTCTAAAAGAAAAAGGGATCCAGAAAGACCAAGAAATTGACAGAACAATGTCAAGAATTATTTGCCGGAACATATCAACGCAGATGAACAAGATGAATCATCACGCCTTGAATTATTTTGTGGTCTAAAAGTGTCGAACCTGTTATTCATCGCGCGTTT